GAGAGAGAGAGAGAGCACAAGAGGGGGGAGCGAGAGAGGGAGAAGCAGACTCCCCGCGGAGCAGGGAGCCCGATGCGGGACTCCATCCCGGGACCCTGAGATCATGACCTGAGCCGAAGGCAGACGCTTAACCATCTGAGCCACCCAGGCACCCTTACTTATTTTTAAGTATTTATTTATTTATTGGAGAGGAAGAGAGAGAGAGCACAAGTGGGAGGGGCAAAGGGAGAGGGAGAGAGAATCTTAAGCCGACTCCACACTGAGCGTGGAGCCTGAAATGGGGCTCGATCTTACAACGCTGAGAACACAACCTGAGCTGAAACCAAGAATCAGATGCTTAACTGACTGTGCCACCCAGGTGCCCCTATTTATTTAGAGAAAGAGAAAGAGAGAGAGACAGAGAGAGCATGAGGCGGGGGTGGGGAGAGGGAGAGATAGAATCCCAGGACGACTCCCCACCCAGCACAGAGCCTGGCATGGGGCTTGATCTCATGACCCTGAGATTATGACCTTAACCAAAATCAAGAGTTGGATGCTTAACTCCCTGAGCCACCCAGGTGCCCCAAGGCACAGAGTGATTTAAAGGAAGGACCATGGGCTTTCGAATCAGGCAGTTCAGGGTGTTAATCCAGCCTCCATCTCAACAACTATGCATGACCCTGGGCAAGTCATAAGGTTCTCTGAGCCTTTGTTCTTTCTTATCTCTGTGAAATGTGGTTCATAGTAATACTTGACCTATCAGGATGTTGTGAGAATTCATGCAAAGTGTTTAATACATGGTGAGAACGCCATACACTAGGAGGTGTTATTATATTTGTTGTTTCATCCTTGGTGCATGGTATAGACGTTCGAAGGTTGAGTTGTTTACTAAGTAGAACTGAATGTTCCTGAAATAATTGCCAACAGGGTTTTATTTATTTTATTTTATTTATTAAAGATTTTAAAGAGAGAGACCCAGCGAGAGAGGGAACACAAGCAGGGCGAGTGGGAGAGGGAGAAGCAGGCTCCCCGCTGAGCAGGGAGCCTGATGTGGGACTCGATCCCAGGACCCTGGGATCATGACCTGAGCCAAAGGCAGACGCTTAACGACTGAGCCACCCGGGCGCCCCAACCAACAGGGTTTTAAAATGGGGATGCCTTCTTTTTTGACTCTTTGCAAGGGCCTCTTTGAATGCATTTGAATGTTCTCTGAACATACATTTACTGAACTTTTTGTGCAGCAAGGAGTAGAGGTAGGAAGAAGGAAGCTTCTGGGAAATGGCCTGATACTCCATCTGAGATTTAAGAGGGGCTCCGCCCTCCTAGAAGGCTGAAAACTGTACTTACCAATGGTGAGGCATTTGATTAGTCTTTGCTGTATGCCAGGCACATTGCTGGGCTCTGGGGACACCTGTGGTCCCTGTGTTAGTAGAGATGACCCACTGGGGCAAAGACAGGCTTTAGTACCTTGTTACCTAATTACATATTTGAGGAGTGCTCCAGAGGAGAGAAATTTGGTTCCTGAGAGCCAGTAACAGGGGTTTGGGATCTAGTCCCTTTAGCAAGTAACACTTCCAGGGAGGCCTGAAGGTTAGGAGAGCAGGGAGGAGCATCCCAGAGGTTGGGCAGAGGAGTTTGAGTTGAGGGTAACGGAGGATGGGCCAGAGTGCCTGTTGCTTCAGGATGAGGGCTGGAGAGACACCACAGGGCCACTGGCTGCCCAACTGCTCTTCTCCTTGCTCCCTCCACTCCTCATCCAGTGCTTTCTCTTTCAGCCTCCTCCTTTCTGGCACATATCCCTGCTCAAGACTCCCCCCCCCTCCGCCCCCGCCCTGCCCCGGATACATTACCCCAACTGTCCTGCTTGCCCAAGGTATAATACTCTCTCTAGCATACTAAGCATAGTCTGATCCTTTGTTCATTCATTCATTCATGGCTTTCTTTTCACAAATAAGCCATATAAAACTTGAATGCCACAAAGAGAAAAAAATGAAATTTAAATCACCCAGAGGCAACTGCTATCAATATTTGGATCTATACTCCTAGGTTTTGTTAGAAATATATATTATAAGGATATATATTATATGATATATAATATCATAAAAACAGGATACACTGCATAAATTGAGTTTTATAAAAACTTTAATATGCAGGGCGCCTGGGTGGCTCAGTTGTTGGGCATCTGCCTTCGGCTCAGGTCGTGATCACGGGGTCCTGGGATCGAGCCCCGCATCGGGCTCCCTGTGAGCAGGAGGCCTGCTTCTCCCTCTCCCACTCCCCACTGCTTGTGTTCCATTTCTCACTGTCTCTCTTTCTGTCAAATAGATAAATAAAATCTTTTTTTTTTTAAGATTTTATTTATTCATTTGAGACACAGAGATACAGAGAGAGAGAGAGCATGAGCAGTGGGAGAGGCAGAGGGAGAGGGAGCAGACTCCCAGCTGAGCCAGGAGCCCAATGTGGGGCTCGATCCCAGGACCCTGGGATCATGACCTGAGCTGAAGGCAGACGCTTAACCATCTGAGCCACCCAGGCGCCCCTAGATAAATAAAATCTTAAAAAAAAACAACACTTTAATATGCTGCACATTTTGCCACATTTAAATATCTATATAACAACACTGTCAATGGCCACCTGAGATTCTATACCATGTGTCAGAAATACTCAATTATAGGCCTACTATACATTCTTTCTCAAATATTTATTTATTTTTAAGATTTTATTTATTTATTTGAGAGAAAGAGTGAGTGAGAGAGAAAATGAGCATGGGGAGCAAGAGAGGCAGAGAGAGAAGCAGGCTCCCCACCTGAGCTGAAGGCAGATGCTTTTTTTTTTTTTTTTAAGATTTTTATTTATTTGACAGAGAGACAGCAAGAGAGGGAACACAAGCAGGGGGAGTGGGAGAGGGAAAAGCAGGCTTCCCGTGGAGCAGGGAGCCTGATGCGGGACTCGATCCCAGGACCCCGGGATCATGGCCTGAGCCAAAGGCAGACGCTTAACGACTGAGCCACCCAGGCGCCCCTTTCTCAAATATTTTGTGAGCACCTGTTGTGTGGCACCACTTTGCTTGGAAATTTAGGGTGACTGCAAGATCCTACTATTATCATAGTAATGTTATTATAAATGAGGTGCTAGTGACTTTCCTTGGCGCTCAACATTTGGGCAGATATGTAATTGTTGACACAGGAAAAATTCCGGAAGTAGGATTTCTAGATTCAAGAAGAGACTTTAAGATTAAATTACCCTCCAATTAGGTTTTACCAATTTACACTCACACCTACTTCCTGTCTTTAACTGCTTGATAATGTCCATTACTTTCTCTACTTCCTTTTTTTTTTTAAGATTTTATTTATTCATATGAGACACAGAGATAACAGAGAGAGAGAGAGAGAGAGAGAGAGAGAGAAAGCATGAGCAGGGAGAGAGGCAGAGGGAGAGGGAGAAGCAGGCTCCCTGCTGAGCCAGGAGCCCGACCAGGGCTCGATCCAGGACCCCGGCATCACGACCTGAGCCGAAGGCAGACACCCAACCATCTGAGCCACCCAGGCGCCCTACTTTGTCTACTTCCTTCTTTCATTCTTAAAGCCTCTGCAGGCCAAATTTTGTTTCCCCTACTCCACTGAAATTATTCTCACTAAGGTCATCAGGTATCATCCAGAGTGTCCGTTTCAGTGATTGATCTGTTTTTGGGCCTTATCTTCATTGACCTGTTTGGGTCATTTAATACCTCTGACCACTCTTCTCTTCCCGAAATATTTACCTTCCTTGGTCAAGTAAAGCAGGTCCAGTCTTACTAGCTTTATTTGACATCTAGGAAACCGAGGCCTGAAGAGGTACCCAGTCTATCAAAGAGGGCATTTAATAAGTTCAACATACATACATCTCTGGGCTCTGCCTGACACACGATAGTGGTAGTTATGTGGGCCTTTAATTTCGATTTAACAAGCATTTTTCTATAGTCGACCTCATTTGTGCCTTCCAATTATCCAACCAAACTCTACCTCCGCAGATGGATATTTTAAATCATTATTTTATCGCGGCAGAGACTGAGGATCAGAGGGCGAGCACTTGGACCCGAGGTGGCCGCCAACTGGGAGCACCCAACTTCTCAGCGGGCTCTGCAACCCCAGGCCCCACAACTCGTCGGCCCGCCGCGATCGCAGCCTCCGGTCCTCGCAGCCTGCCGTCCCCGGAGCCTCCCGTCTTCGCCTCTGCGTCTGGCCGCTCAGCGCCATCTTTGAGCCTGGCCCGGTGCCGTACTTCCGCCCTTCCCTCCCCCCCAACCCAGGGGTAGCCGCGCATGCCCAAGCGTGCCCCTACTGGGAAGAAGTATCCAAAACTGGCCAGGCTTGTCTCATACTGACCAAAAATAATAATTTATCTCGTTCTCTCAGGTCTTGGAGGAGGAGGCCTGACCAATTCAAAAATGGTGGGGCTAGCCTCACCACCCCTGTCTTCCGCTTTGTAGGCTCAGGGGCGAAGGTCACGTCGGAGTGCGCAGGCACGACAGGGCGGAGCTATCTCCATGGCAACCCGCGCGCAGCCCAGGCAGCTTGGCCGGGCGGGAAGTGCGGGAGCTGAGACGCTGGCTACAGGCGGGGCTGCGAGCGCCGAGGGGCCCGGGCGGCCTGGGCCGCTGCAGGACGAGACCCTGGGCGTGGCGTCTGTGCCCTCGCAGTGGAGGGGCGTCCAGGGCATCCGCCGGGAGACGGTGAGGGCGCGGGCCCGGCTCGGGGCGACGTGGGCAGGAGGGCGAGGGTCCGCGCGCGGTCTCCGGGCCAAGTTCTGGCGTGCCCCCAGGTTATTTTTGTATTTTCACCCACAGAGCCAAACCCTTGCGGTATTCTGGTGCGTTTCCTCAGACTCTGAACCACCACATAAGGGGTTTTTCCTTAAGACTTCTGAAGACCCCCTGTTTTGAAGGATTTTATGTGAACCGCCGTTTTTAGGCATTTCAAACTAAATTTTCTTTAAAAAGACAATTGCATTTCAAGGTCGAAATACGCCGGTTTTCTAGGAGCGTCATCAAAAGCACACACAGAGAGGTTTTTTGAGGAATTGAGGGGCAGGGCTCCTGGGCGCCAGGTCTTCTCAGGCTTCGCGCAGACTTTGAGGGCCTGCTGTGTGCCAAGAGCTCTTCCCTCTTGGAGCTGACGTGGGGCCGTTTGCAGGGCACAACCAATAGGCAACCTATGTGATAAGTAAATTATGCTGTGTGTTCGTTAGGAGGTGAGTAGTGCCACGGACGAATGTAAAAGAAGGGTGAGGGATTGGAGGGACTGGGTTGGAGAGTGAGGGGGTAGGTGGGCCTCATTGAGAAAGTGACATTTGAGGAGTGAGAGAGTTAGCCAAGTGGGTACCTGGGGTAGAGTAGCCAGGCAGGGCAAACTGCAAGTGCAAAGGCCCTGGGGTTGGAGCAGATCTTGCGTGTTTGAGGAGGCAGCCGCGCTGGGGAGGAATGAGAGAAAGGGAAATGGTCCCAGTTGAAGTCAGAGTAGGTAAGCAGAGGCAGGTCAAGTAGGGTCTTGCAGATCATTGTAAGGATGTTGGCTTTTCCTCGGTGAAAATGGGGAGCATTGTAGGGTGCTGCACATTTACCACGGGAGTGGCCAAACCTGCAGAGCTTAGGTCCTCACCAACACCAGTGAGCTTTCCATGAAGTCTTACTCTTTTTTTTTTTTTTTTTAAGATTTTATTTATTTATTTGACAGAGAGAGACACAGCGAGAGAGGGAACACAAGCAGGGGGAGTGGGAGAGGG